TAACACACATAAATAAAAACACACACACACAATATATATTTAGGAAAAATATTTAATAAGTTCATAGAAGTAAATGTAAATTATACGTATATATATATATATATATATATATATATATATATTAGTATATATGTTAGTATATATAAACACACATACATCGTTTGTTGTACTGCCTTTAATTTATCATTAACAACAATGTATTAAAATGAAAATATAACAAGGATCACTAATTGAGAATGATAAGAATGACAAAAATCTAAACTAAAATTTCTGGAGAGATTGTTTTAATGAAAAAATGCATTAAATGTCAAAAGGAATTAGGAAAAATTAATTTTCATTAAAAATGTTTAATTCCGATATATCTTAGTAGTCATACATTTTCCATTTTTCCTCATTTTTTCCATTGCCTTTCATGCAAAATATAATTTCTTGTTTCTTTCTTTTTGCTGTGAAATACATTTTTCATGAGCTCCACCCTGTGTTTCCACTTTTATTCTTATTATTTCCACATAAAAGCAGTAAGCTCGTTTTAGGTGATGAACAGGAGAGCTTTGACTGAGTGATGAGCTTGTTTTTCTGTAGGAGCTTCAGCTCAAGGACAAAGACTGAGGCTCTTATTTTCATTCTCCACACAGCTGTCTCTCTGTGTCCCTGCAGGACTGTGTGCCACACGACTCCCACGTCTGTCTCTGAAACTAACCCTCAGCCACTGTTTTAGCCAAACAGAGTTTCTCACACACATGCTCAGTTGACTAAATAATAACTAGAGAAAAAGCTAATGAAAACACACACTGACTAAAGTCACTAAAAAACCATTTTTGTACTGGTCAAAATGTAAATATGACACACTTTTGCTCTTTGCAAATGACTTACACTTTGAATAACAAAATGCATTGACAGGCGCATGGCTTCAACTTTCTGAGAGATTTTAATATGAGAGGTGAATAATTGAAAAATCAGCGGGGAAAAAGGTGGTTCAGAAGCAGAGCAAGCAGTTTAATTTTTGTTTACAAAAAAATAAATTAAAATAAAAAAATACGATGTAATAAAATAAAAAACAAATAAATAAATAAAATAACCAAATAAAAATACAATACAATAAAATAAAATACTAATAAATAAAACCAAATAAAAATAACCCAATAAAAAACAAACATATAAAAATAGGATTTTATGTATTTGAATTGCATATAATATTTAGTTTTAACATTAATTTATAAACACAATGTGATGCGTCTTTATCAGTCATACATGAATGAAGCGGGTCAGATTTCTGTAATAGTACTAATAAACTCAACGTGTTTTAAATACAAAATAACCAGGTATATTTATTTATTATAAATGTTTCAATGTTTCAATCAATGCATTTTAACTAACGTGCTTGTTCCACAGCTAGTCATATTTAAATCATGCTCATACTTTTAACTGAATAAATGCAATTGTTTTTGCAGACAAAAAAAAAAAGATTTATGCTGAATCTAAGCAATTTTGAATACACGTATTTTGATAAATGTATAGTTTTTTTTAATATAAAATCACATAGATTTCTGACAAATCACGCATCGCATTAATTTACTAGTTTCTTAATTTTAAAACTGTATAATCCAATATGCAATTCAAATACATACATTTTATTTATTGAGCACATTAAGAAAGTAGG